TGTTCAAAGACAATGAAGATCAACAATGAATGTGGAGGTGTATCAAAGAAATGAAAAATTGCATGACATTCTGATGAGTAAGATTTGTGGTGATGACGCTTCATGTGCATTCCTGATTGTTTTCGAAGCACTGAGCAAATATGAGTTTGGCTGAAGCATATCTCATCCGGTTGAAATTGCACACCCACCCTCATTCGAACATCTCTATAAGATGTCACACAAATCCACCTGCTGTCATCAGATCGAATCGTGCTGTGGTTTTCGACTGAACACGATCGTTTGCTGTTCGCAATGCTTCTCAGGTACTCACTCCTCTTATCATGATTGTCTATCATCGCTTTCTGTGAACGGCATGTTGCAGGCGCCATATTCATGACAAGTTTCCGTTTTATACTTTATCCTCATCGCGCAGTCTATTCTCGAGCCCGCACTAGTGATCATAGCCGAACAAAAATTTCGTTCAGTCAGAATTGGCGGAATCTAATTGCACTGCGCAATAGCGAACATCATTGCTCATCAAAAAACCGGCATTTCTCTGAATCGAAATTCAGTCGACTAAAATTCGGTCGTTTACCACTCCTAGTTTATTTCCGTCAATTGTGGAAAAGTCTCGGTCCTAGATTTAGCCATGTTGATGGAAATGAAGCAGTTGAGCGGGTGTCAACCTATTCAATGCAAGCGCTTAAGAATTCGAATCCGTATGCGTTTGTCCGTTAGCCAGCTGAAGAATTGTAACACTTTTTGGAAATCGCGCAACGGAATGAATTTGGTCATCAGAAGTGTTCTCGTTCTATTACGAAGCGATATTTCGCGATTATGCAATTTCATATCGTTTACAGCAACAATGGCATCTGAACGAAGTTTCAACATTCTGAGATTCGGTATTCCGACCGAATTTCGAAATTCTTTAGTCGGGATCCAAATCTTGCAATTCCGATCGAAATTTGTTGAATATACCAACCGAACTTCAGTCGATTACCATCACTATGAATCAATCACCGAAAGATGATTGGGGAATATGATAGAAGCATATGTATGCTCTAGAAGTGCCCTCTGAAAAGTCTCAAAACTGGGATTGGAACAAGATCGAATGCTATTGAATGGAAGAGTATTCATCGATTGAGCACAGGTTTAAGCNTATTTTGGCCTAAGGCAAAGTTCGGGCTCAAGCCAATTCAACCTTCTTACCAGTTAACATCTTTCCACTAACCTCTCTGGAAATGGAAAATGTTGAGAATCAAGTTCACTGAACTGCATTTCTTTCAGGATTCTTCTCGTAGCACTCTTCAATGTTCCATTTTTCTCACAGGTAAATGTAGTAGTATCATATATTCACTATTGAATATTTGAACATTTATCATTCAGTCTCAGAGGAAAATGTGATAAATTGTTACTTATTTATTGTTAAGTAAAAGTCATCCATTTTACTTCAGTTATCAAATGTCACATTGTCTAGAGATAAAAGTTTCAAGAACACTTGTTCTCATAGCCACCTTAAATAAGGTCTTAAGTATCCTGATATTTGGATTTTGATATCGTGTGAAAAACTATAATCAGAAAATCAAATGTCGCTAGCTTACAGGATGGTTTAAGAGAGAAAAGTTGATATTTCGGGAATTGTCCCAGCATGGATGTCTGTTATGCGTGCTAATCATCAAACAAAATCCTCAATTTTTTTCTTGCTTC